CCCTTGAAACACTGGAACTGACCTATGCTCTTCAAACGTTGCAACTGACAATAAATACCCTTGAAACACTGGAACTGACCTATGCTCTTCAAACGTTGGAGCTGTTTATTCTCGGCTCGAAATGTGTCATACTTCAGTGGTGTAAACGTTCACTAAAGCAATTAGCGTACTAAATAACTAAACATACCTGGTGATATAAATAAACACCTTTTATCGAAGGATAAGATATAGTAAAGATACTGAATCGTAATAACGTTCACTAAATAACTAAACATACCTGGTGATATAAATAAACACCTTTTATCGAAGGATAAGATATAGTAAAGATACTGAATCGTAATAACGTTCCCTAAATAACTAAACATACCTGGTGATATAAATAAACACCTTTTATCGAAGGATAAGATATAGTGAAGATACTGAATCGTAATAACGTTCACTTAAGAAATTAGCGTACTAAATAACTAAACATGCCTGGTGATATAAATAAACACCTTTTATCGAAGGATAAGATATAGTGAAGATACTGAATCGTGATGACGTTCACTTAAGAAATTAGCGTACTAAATAACTAAACATGCCTGGTGATATAAATAAACACCTTTTAGCGAAGGATAAGATACAGTAAAGATACTGAATCGTAATACGTTTTGAAGACGTCAGTTTAGAAGTCCTAAACTTCTTTGGAAGCTGTGGTAGTTTAGCATTTCAAAATACAACAACAATCGTTAACCCTAGGCTAACTGATTTTTAAACTATAACGGTGAAATACTGTAACATTTACTGGCACAGGAGCAAAAAATTGGGTGGGCAAGTTGAGTAAACACAATGCTTTCAAGTTAAAACTTAATACCTACAGGTGTGAGATAACTGGTCATAGTGTGCTAAGCACACTCAGCATGCAAAGCATGCTATTGCTAGAGTGGGATCTGTGGGCATGTCCCCCCAGAAAATTGTGAGCCAAAAGTGTTATTAAAAACATTGGTTCTGTATAAATTAAAAAAAAAGAAAAAACCTTGGGGAGACAGAAATCAGTTTTGGAGGGGCAAAGCCCCCTTGCCCCCCTCATATCCGCTTATTCTCACTGGTATGCTTCATGCAGATATAGGTATCGTTAGGGTTGGCGTGTCGTTTGTGTAAAACAAAAGCCAATTTGGAATATTTTTGTTATGTTTAAATTAAATATCAAACTTTTTGGTGTACGTGGAATTCACTGTAAATACATTTGAAAGTGTCACTAGTTTCATTTTTTTTAAGTTTTAATTTTAGATTCTGCGACAAATACAGACTGACGTACTGTAATTTTATGGTTTCTCTTAGCTAGTTATCGAGTCGCGTGCTGTAATTAATGCTTAAGAATAATTGATCACGTGCTTTAATAGTGAAATACATGTACGGACCTAATAAAAATGGTTTTAATGAATACACTTGAGTAAGTTTATGCCAATGACTTTCACCTCCTCTATCAGTTGTTCATTCTAATGTTTAATATTGTAGAAAGAAAAATGAAGCTGAAAACGAAACACGACCTTTTCAAACCGTAAAGGTCCAAATTCTGAACAATGAAATTAACTTTCATTATCTAAACATTAAATATTACAGTAAACCTAATGATCGTAACAGGTAATAGAAAAAACACTGATTTTTAGAACAAGAAGATTTGAGGCCTAATGATAAATTCGTACACTTACTAGAAGATTATGTTGTTTATATGCATTTGTTTCTCCTAAACAGTCAAAGCGAGTTTACTGATTTGTATGTAATAACTGAATAACCTTATGATTTAAAGTAATGCCACTATAATTAACTTTTTCAATGTTTTATCTCCCCTTGTTTTTAAAAGTACTTAATTATTTCTAATTATAACGTCACATAAAGGACCAATGAATGATACTTTTCCTTGGGATATCTGCTTTGTCCACCACGGGGAATCGAACTCCATAGTTTAGCGTCGTAAATCCGTAAACTTACCATCCTCCCACCAGGAAACAGTGACCTAGCTGGGTCAATTAGAGCTGACATTGTTATCTAATCTGAGTTTATATGTTTTCATTTTTTGACTAAATACTTCATCCACTACTTTAAGTACATAGGCATCAAAGCCACCTGTTGGCATAAACTCAAACAAAAAAGGGAAATCGAGAAACTTTAAAGCCGAAGTTTAGGTACATGGTCATCAAGAAACTATGATTTATTACAATGCTAAAGCAAAAAGAAATATCAAGAAAAGTCTTTCCACCAAAGCACGCTTGTAATTGAAACACTTATCACTTCAACTAGAAGATCTCATCGATACTAACGACACATTACGCAGGCAGTAACCTCTAAATCTCACTCTTTCATTTTCATGTCAATCTTCACATAACTCTTCGCCCACACGTATTTGTAACTATTGATTAATATGACTTTTAATCCAAGTCTGCCAGGACCCGAAGTGTGAGATTACAGCAAAGAAAAACAACACAATGATGAACAACTAATTGGTCGGGGGAACACTTGACACTCAAAATTTATAATAAATGACCACACTTTAGATTTCAATTTGAAAATTCAGCAAGAAAATAAACAACTTGAAATCGTTGATAAAGTATATATTAAATTGTTTTAAAAGTTATAATAAATATGGTGAAAATTGTGAAAGTATAAAATAAAATGTACAGAAATGACAAGCATGGAGGTATTTCAACGAGGCTATTTTTGTTCATTTTATTTATAGCAAAGATAAGGGATCGATTGTCTCTCTTATAACTCACTTACAGCTTAAAATACAGGAAATAAATGAAGTATCGCATGGATTCGGAGAGGATTCGCCAGCTCCGAAATACAGAGATCTACAATAGGACAAACACACGAGCCCAAATCGGGGCTTTGAAAATGATACTTTAAAGATTCATTATATTAGGGTAAAGTACATTTTCTGTAACTTCCTGGTTCCAAACGATGTCTGGCATGGCCTGAGGGTTATGGCACTCGCCCCCCTCCCCTGCTGTACTTTTATGTGGTGTGACTAAAATAAGTACATGTCGTTGCTGGCATGGCCTGAGGGTTAGGGCACTCGACCCCCCCCCCCTGCTGTACTTTTATGTGGTAAAATAAGTACATGTCGATGCTGGCATGGCCTGAGGGTTAAGGCACTCGACCCCCCCCTGCTGTACTTTTATGTGGTAAAATAAGTACATGTCGATGCTGGCATGGCCTGAGGGTTAAGGCACTCGACCCCCCCTGCTGTATTTTTATGTGGTAAAATAAGTACATGTAAAATAAACTTAAGTTGTAGATAAAGTATCTTATGGTATCAAACTTGTTTGTTTTAAATGCCGTATTTGACACGATTTTTAACGTTATAAGCCTCAGATTACCGATGAGCCACTGGGAGCGTGTGTTCAAATAGTAAAATCTATATTTAAAATGATAACTTAAAAATAAAAATATTCACGAATAATACATTTTTTAATTATGTGGAGAC